TTTGTAATAAACTACAGCAATGTTATGGAATGTATATTCTCTTGTGTTCTATACCAGGGTTCTCAAACTTATTACTTAAAGGTCTGCATCTGATTTTATACAAGGTCAGAGGTTAGGAATGATTGGCAATAACAACAAAATGTAATCACTTCAGTTATGATTATGTCTCTTCATTGAGCCAGCATGCATAGAAACCCTATGTTAGATAGAAACTGAGGCAGACACAGCTCAGACAGTTTGGTAGAAGTTATTAAGTGAAATAAGTTATTAAGTGAAATTAAATATCAGCTGAATAAGATTAAAGTGAGAGCTCTGTACTATCGGTTCTGGGAAACGGTGTTAAAGTTAGTGCTCTGCTCTGTGAGTTCTGGTTCTTGAAAACAGAAAGAGTAAGCGCCTCTTGTACTGTCCACTCTTTGCTACTCTCCTCCTATGTATCCTCCGCTAGCTTAACCTGCTACTTTTCTTTATTTGAGCACAGACAGATGAACAGTGATGAATGCATGTTGTTGCTGAATGTGTTTCTGATCCGCTCTAAGCACTAGAAGGCTAGACATTATTAAAATACAAGGAAAGTCAAGCTGTGTGTTATTGTAGGACTTCTGGATGTTGACTGGCTGTCGGGATGAATGTGGTARCCTAGGGCTGGGTATTTRAAARGCCCTGCATACTTTGGTTTTAAATGGGTGAGGATTTATAATGTGCAAAAATAGCAGATTTTATAACACACTGGCATCTACTGTAAAATTACTGTAGCTGATGTTCATAATTTATCATTGATTATGTAATTATTGTCAATTGGTACACGTTTCAGGTGTTTTTGTTGTTTGAGAGGGCTGTCAACCTTTATTTTAAAAGTATGACTTTTATTTTGACATGCTGTGTTCGCTGCGCTGCTCCGGAGAGTGAGAAGTAAACCTACGAAGGTGAAGACGTGCTTTAGCTAATACAGTAAAATTAAGAACCAATTTAACGAGGTAACGAGGTAATTAATGTGTTTGTCTGTATTTTACTTTGCACGTGTTTCATTTTGATGTTGTAATGCTATCGCTAACACTTTGTGTATATCTATGATATAGTTTTCACGGTGGATTCGGAGGAAGCTTCAAATAAATCAGTACCAAGAAAGCCACTTGTGTTGTCCGTGCCTTGAGGGAATTACAATTACCATAACCCACAGTTCTCCTACTGTCATGTACTGTAATCCAAAATACTGAAATATACTGTTAAATAAATGACACTATATGCGCTGTAAAATTACTAAAACACAGTTATCCTACCATCATGTACTGTAATCCAAAATACGGTAATATACTGTTAAAATAAATAACGGTAGTTGCACTGTAAAATAACAGTAAAATACTGGCGTCCCTGCTGCCAGTAGTTTACTGTTATTTTACAGTGAAATTCTTTACAGTGTACAGTTACTGTTATTTGTAAAGTCTCAAGTGTCACAGGCAAGGACATCAGTGCAGTTCATAAAGAGAAGTATGACGAAGGATTTCTGTGAGGACATCTAATCACAGCACCTAACACACACCAGAGAATGTTACATCTTTATGGATAAAATAAATGCAAATTCTACTACAAAATGTTTATTGCACTTTGTTTCATGTTTGTCCAGAAAAGGCTTTCTTTTTTTGCCAGTTTGTGTTAGAATGATTTTGTATACTTACAAAGCATCTTTGTGCCATAAAAATGTTAATTAAACTGAGTAAGTCTGGTAAAAAGCATGAGCCCTTATTTATACACAATTATTCAGGGTTGATTTCTGGACTTCATGCAATTTTAGTCGAAGACCACTGGTTCAAGGCAACGGGTTCCACGCAATCTTAAAGGTAAGTTAACTAAATCCGCACCTTCAGCCTCACGATTCGATTACAGTTCAGCTGTCAACAATTGAAATGCATCTCGATCCTTTTTAATGTATCACATCCACAACTTCCTATATTACTGCACATGGTTGCTTTTTCATCAGTTAATACAGTCAGACAAATATGGCCTTTTTATTTAGAGAGTGCATTAAAGACTCTTACTGTTTGTACAAGTGGGCTGTAATTTACGGGGCCTTCCGACTGAAGGCCTGTGATGCAGCCTACAGGCCTCAACCAGAGGTGGAAGAAGGGAGGGACGGTAGAGACTAAATCTCCCGACCTGATATTTAAATGTGTTATTAAGTCTGTAAATTTGTCAGATAGTGAACACACAAAAAGGGCAGGGCGTGTCTGTGCGTGTACGTGCCAGCAAAGGAGGGAGATCACTGACTTTCAATTTGGATGATGATATCCTTGTTAAAATATATTGATCCCGGGCAGTGTTGTGCACATATAAAAACATAGTACATATTTTTTGTGAACGCTGAACGGAAATAATCGGTTTACATATGATTAACGCCTCTCGCCGCTTTTTCTTAGACATCATGTTACAGGCCATCATGTGAAATTAGGGAGCACTGTTTCCCCCTCACTGGAAATTTGAGGAGCGCAAGCAGAACATTTACGGACACAACTTATATCGTAATGCAACGCAATGATTCACATTTCCCCCCGTCAACAGACAACTTACAGAAATGACAATGTTTAAATCACCCCAATAAAAACTGAACAAATCAACGTGGACTAATTCATTAATGAAAGCTTGGACTGATGAATGAACCGGCGCATGGCTGCACAAGGCTGTTACAGGCAGCGGTACTAATACTTTCACTGGAAGAAAACCAGTGAGCAGGTTAGCTTCACGCAGTGTGGTTCCATAATAACGAGTCCAAAACATAACTAGACCTACCGTTCAGCTGCTGGTCGAAGCTCTGCTGCTCCTCGAAAGAACCATTTCACTCAGTTTCCACCTCGCTGCAGAAGACCCACCCACTGATAGTCACAGGCAGCGAACCCTCCGCTTCCTTCCTGTCGTGCAAACGATGAGCCGACGTGAGGGAAATACAGCAACTATCCTGGAACTACCATCGACAATATTTTGAATTATTGGCGGGTTTCAGTTACTTTGTATTGACTTTATTACGTGTCTGTATTCTGCCTGATCCTGAACAGCTGTCTGAAGGTTTCTGAGAAGGTACCGAGGCTGATCTAAAACATGTAAATCATATAGACATACGATATATATTTTTAACAATAACAAGAATATCAAACTACATTTATTCCAGGCGGCAGATTGTGTGTTTGCTGCCAGCAGCCATGTCACTGCTACTTGGTTCCCACCATCTTTATTAAATCTCACGTTACACCTGAGGATTTTTCTTTAATGATTCATCCATAATGAGGAAGACCAGATCTGACAGGATGAGAGGCTGCAGCAGTTATTGGACAGTCATCATTAAGTGCTGGCACGTGCACACTATAGACATCAGAAGTGCCCTTTTCTTTTTTTTAATAAACGAAAAGCATTCTTCTGTTTGCGCACAGTTTCCCTGTCTACAAAAATGCTGATTGCATAAAACAGATTATTATCAGGTCGGGAGATTGGACTTCGTCTGTACCCTCCCTCCACGTCTCCTGCACAGTGCTGCTGAGCACTACAGCTGTGGACATGTCTCCAGATAGACACCACACATGTCTCCAGATAGACACCACACAATGTGGTGTTTTAATGTCAATTACACAAAGTTAAATTGTTATAATCAGCCCTAACAGTAACTCAGTATGTGCAACGTGAAGATGGGGAAATTCTATTTATGTATTTCCCCGTCTACAACAGAACTGTATACAACAGAAACAGACCACAAGTTGAAAAAACAGATACCCAGAGCGTCCTCACTGCAACCATAAGTTGAAATATTTGTGTTACATCATTTTTTGCTGCAATACTTATTGTTTCATTCATACTTAAAAAATGGTTGTTGAACACATTTTTACAGATTTCAAACATCTGTACATTTAGAACATCCTATTAATACATTTCAAACATCTGTACTTTAAAAACATCCTATTAATACATTTCAAACATCTGTACTTTAAAAACATCTTATTTATACATTTCAAACATCTGTACTTTAAAAACATCTTATTTATACATTTCAAACATCTGTACTTTTAGAACTTGTTAATGTTTGTTTACTGTGAAATGAAGTTGATCATTGCTGATCATATTCGTTCATTGAAATGTGTGTCTCTTCACACCACAGGGCCTAGTATTTCTGATTCTGATCCAAAGCTAGGTCTCCCAAACAACTGCAGGGTGTTTGTTCTGATCGTAAGAGGCTTGGCATTCAGTATAAAATATAGTTTCCCTATTTTCTATTAATAACCTGTGCAAATGTATAATGCTCGCAGCATGCCATGCACTCCATTGTTATTACTCATAATTGGTCTTCTTTATTAATCGTCCGGACACTTATAGGGACATATTTGCAACTGATTTTACACTACATGAAACAACTCACATCAAACTCATGCAGAGTTGATGTGACATACTGTGAGTTGTCTACAGGGAGAAACAGACTAGTGCTTTTATGCCCACAACTGAGGAAGAAACTGGTGGATGTTCCATTAACATCTATACATCTATGACTTCAACTGTTATGATGAAACAGACTGTCACAGTTTTTACACAGTGAGCTGTCACTGACACTTTTCAAGGTTAGAATTGTTTCTTGTATTAGTCACCTCACTGACCTAACGCTGCGTTTCCATTGCAGCATCAGCACATTCCCCCACCGCAGTGAAAAGCCAGTAATGGCTACTTTCTGTTTTCGAAAGAGATTTTACTCAAACTACATAAACTACATATGACAGGGGTTTTAGTGTCGGAGAAATAAATGACTGCCGCCCCCCATTGTTTGCTGCTACACTTACTGTTTCATTCATTCATACCGAAGCTGCTCCAGTCTGACGTATAACTTAAATGCTAAACATGTCCCGGCAAGTTCCACTGAGTTCCCCTTTATTTAACTGTATTTGCATTGCGTTTTTGAATAATGCACCTGGCCTAATTGGTTTGCTGATGTGCTTGATGTGCTTGATGTGCTTGGCCTTATGAAGCAGCAGACTTCACCAATAAAAATGTGGATTTCAAATCTTCTCTTCTTAGTGTTTTCAATTGATTAGTCATGCACTACAAATTTTTAATGTCCTAGAATTCAAATACTATATTTGAGGACCTTTAGCAGATATGACATTAAAATTCAATTGATTCGATTAATTAATTACAAATCCTGTAATTAAATAGATTTTTTTTTTAATCGCCTGACAGCACTAAGTAAAACACAACGTTAATAACAACAGCGGACTTTAGTCTAACATGTGACTGAACAATGAGCGTGAACATATCAACAAAAAGGGATAGTTTCGACATAATATTCGAATATAACGTAGGACACCTGACCACGCTTGCATTTCGGGGCAAAGGCAGATAAACACTAAAGAAAACACGGCGTGCACCAGCAAGTCTCTTACTACATGTAGCAGTGCCACCCTGTGGCGTAAACAGGCCAGGCCTTACATGTAAAAAGAAGAACTGAGGAAGTGACTGCTGTGTCCCCTGAGGTTCAGACTGTGCAAAAAATGTTTTACATCAAAGCTGATGCCATAAAATCGAAACGCAGACCAGAGAAAAATAATGAGGAACACCAGATCTGACAGGATGAGAGGCTGCATGTTATTGGACAGTCATCATTAGGTGCTGGCACGTGCACAATATACACATCAAAAGTGCCCTTTTCCTGCGGTGCTTCTTTTTTTTAAATAAACGAAAAGCATTCTTCTGTTTGCGCACAGTTTCCCTGTCTACAAAAATGCTGATTGCATAAAACAGATTATTATCAGGTCGGGAGATTAGACTTCGTCTGTACCCTCCCTCCACGTCTCCTGCACAGTGCTGCTGAGCACTACAGCTGTGGACATGTCTCCAGATAGACACCACACATGTCTCCAGATAGACACCACACAATGTGGTGTTTTAATGTCAATTACACAAAGTTAAATTGTTATAATCAGCCCTAACACCAATGGGAGTTTGAAGAGGCCTGCTAATACACATTTTCAATAAAGTGACTTCAATGGCCGTTCATAAATAAGTCTGATGTCTATTTAAAATACAGACCCAGACGTTGGTATTTGTACTGCGGGAGAAAACAACGATGACACGATGAGTGCAGTGACGGTGGACAGGTTAACGGCTGTGGAATCAATGAGAGCGCAGGTGAATCCTGAATGACTGAGGTGACCGGGGTGCACTGAGGTGAGTGGGGAACAGAAATGTGCAGGTGACGTGTTGACGTGATCACGAGACGAACTGTCCACAGTCGAGCTTAACAGACGCATTCAGAGTTCAGTCTGAGCTCAGGTTGGAATCGTTTCTTATATTCGTTACCTCGCTGGCTCAGTCTCCCGCTGCTCGGACCTGAAACTAACGGTCGTAACGTGCAGATTTGTTTCCGCGGTGATAACGAAGGTATATGGGAAACTTTTAACATGTCTCCAGATAGACACCACACAATGTGGTGTTTTAATGTCAATTACAAAAAGTTAAGTTGTTATAATCAGCCCTAACACCAATGGGAGAAGTTTGAAGAGGCCTGTGATTCCTTATTTTCAATAACCCCCCCCCCCCCATTTTTTGCTGCAATACTTATTGTTTCATTCATACTTAAAAAATGGTTGTTGAACACATTTTTACATCTGTACTTTTAGAACATCTTTTTTTTTGCACATTTCAAACATCTGTGGGGTTTTTTAACACTTCACATTTTCTTTTTTTTAACACCTTACATCACCACAAAATCTCACAGACATGGTGGGGAATTTATAACATGAATGAAGGCTGCTTTCAGAGCCAAAAATAGAGCTGCTGATTCTAATCATAACGCGGTATTTGCTAAACCAGACTGTTACTAACACAACTTTATTGAGGGGTTACATATAAAATAAAGAAAATCTTTTTTATGCCATCATCCTTATAACAGCAATATTTTTACCTGCTCTGGGCCCAAGTTCATAGCCACTCAGGTTATGGATGTTCCTTTTGAAAATGCTTTTTTGCTCCTGCCAAAAAGTGATTGCAGCTCCTAGTTTGTTACTCAAAGTTAGAAATTGTCTTACTTTCATCCATCAGGGTTATATTTGATAGATTCTAGTTTACCCAGTCCTTTATACATGCTTTCTTCTTGTTATGAAGTGACTGCAGCTCCTGGCTTGTAACTAAATGTGTTCAAAATGCCTTGGTTTCATTCATGTGGGTTAGATTTGATAGATTCGTCTTCTTTTTTATTTTGGTTTATTGGTGGGTGGTAAACTACAGCAAGGTGCATTACCCCCATCTATTTGTGGCTGCATCATTCCAGGATGAACTGTAAGCTGTAAGGAGCAAGCCATTCTTCTTTTACTTTGTTCGGTTTAATGGTGGGTGGCATTAATGTCACTTAACTAAAATGTTGGAGCATCAATCAATGTTATCAAGACCATATTGAATTATTTTCTCCAATGCTGTCTCCCTCAGATAATGGAGCATTATCCCTATTACAATGGTAAATACTATTTCCAAGCTCATTCTTCAACCCCATGCTTTGTAATGTCCCTCTTATGCTTTTATCATTCCTAGTATACAATCTAAACATAACAATCCTTTCGCTTTTTCCAGAAAATAGAAAAAGCAGCATAGACACTGAGGGGAACAGCCAGGTTGGTGTTACTGACGTCAGTACAGAAGGGGTACAACATGTCAGACTTTCTGCTTCATACTGCTCCATGCAAAACACTTTCTTTTGGCCCGTGCACTCACCCAACATGGAATAAGTGCCACTGTTGCTGGATCTCTATCTTCAGAATGCCCCCGAAGATTTGTCCAGTAAATCATCTTTTACTGCTTCAGCCTAAAATGCAAGTGCATTTCACCCAACCTCAGACTCACTTGCTCACTCCCTATTCTCACACCATGTTAGACAATATGAATTCACCTGCCACACAGAGCCTACATTGTGATCATTCACTTTAGAAATACATATCTTCATTATCACGTCACACTCACAAAGCAGCTGTAGACACATATAAACAGAACAATACAACTTTGACATTTTCTGGCAGGCAGAGGAAGAATATCATGGGGCTCTGTTCTAAAATGAAGAAGTGGAAGGCGATGGTGAAGAAGTGCGACATCTTCAATGAGTTTATGGCGGAGTTTCTGGGGACATTTATCCTGATAGTGAGTACCTCCCTCTGCACTTGTCATCCAGCTTAAACAGCCGCTTTATAGTGAACCAGTATGTTAATAAGGTGTCAAACTGGGTCCACAGGGTCTCTAACTGCTGTCTCTTATATGTCTCTATTATCGTGAATTCCTCTTCCTTTTTACCAGATGTCTGTGGCAGTCAGGGCCCGGACAAGAGGGTTAGTGTTAATGTAATTAGAATAACCATTCTTCCATCCTCTGCGTTTTTAATTTCCTTTTTGCCCCAGCTCTTTGGATGTGGTTCAGTAGCCCAGGCGGTGGTCACTCGAGGGGCTTTGGGGAACCTCTTAACCATCAACATGGGCTTCAGTCTGGGAGTCATGTTGGCCGTTTACGTGGCAGGGGGAGTGTCAGGTAACAGTCGCACCCACACTTCATATATACAAGATTATTATGAAAAAACATTTGATCCTGCAAGTCCTTTTTGACTATCAATTATCCTCGTTATCATATAAGCATTCATTTTGATGGTCAAAGTGGCAGAAAATGTTGAAAATTACCAGCTGCAGGTTCCTTAAGAAAAATGGCCTTTTTTGTCACACTACAAGTTTTCTGGTTAGTGCAGTAGTTTCTGCAGCTCTCTGTGTGACACATCATGGTCACTCTAATGACCTGCAGTCTATGTGTGCCTTACAAAGATTCAGACAGATTATGTCAGGTCTGGCTGGTTGTCGTGGACAGTGTTTGTGAACAGGATGGGGAGATTAACAATGGGTGCATGGCTGATATACCCCCCAGTGGTGTTACCACAGTGAGGTCAAAGCTAAGATCCCAGAGAGTTAAATGATCACTGCCACCACAGCCCAGCAACAATTGGCTGGAAGACAATGCAGGACAAAGGAAAACAGGACAAACTCTGATACAAACCCAGAGTTTTGAATGAATCAGCATCTGAGGGTTTGAATTTAAGCACTAAATGATCAGCCTGTCACTGAGTGTTTAATCCACTGAACTCTAATTCATATTGTCTCGCAGAAGACAACCAAAGACTTTGAATATAGTTGGCTAAGCCATCTAACAAGCTAGGACGCAGATGTTGGAACTTTTTTAGTCAATTGATCAATTCATCAAGAATCAGCAGCTATTTTGTTTGTCATTTAAGGGCGAACTCCAGATGAGCACATCTGGAGGTGTTGTTAACGTCCACTATGTGAAAGAAAAGATGGAATATAAAGCTTTTGTTGATTTTGCTCATCTGCATTGTTGTAGGAGCCCACGTGAACCCTGCAGTCTCTTTGGCCATGATGATCCTGAAGAGGCTGCCACCGGAGAAGTTTCCTTTGTATTTGGTGGCACAGTTCCTGGGTGCTTTCGCTGGAGCTTCTGTCGTCTATGGGTTGTACTATGGTAGGTGTCAACAATGTCATCACTATGAGACACTGTCTAAGAAGGCAGAAAGATCAGGTCATAATCCAGCTAATCCAATAATCCTGCTTCTAAATTTTCCTGATATCTGCATACTGTTTGTGTGTGACTTATTGATGAGAATGATAATTGTATTTTCTTTTCTTCAGATGCGTTGATGGCATATACCAATGGAGTATTCGTTGTTACTGGTCCCTCTGCCACAGCCCAAATCTTTGCATCCTACCCTGACAAATCTACTTCAGTCCTAAGTGGGTTTTTTGATCAGGTAGGGGCTAAAGACTTATAATAAAAAATTCTGCTGATAATATATAGCTACTATATCCACATGGATGAAAGCAAAGCAAATTTTTGCATCTCATTTCAGCTATAGAAGCCACTAGAGCCTACAGAGATGTGAGCCTATTGATACTGATATAATCTGTGAGCCTGCATTTTTGTGCAGTCATTGATGAATGTAAGCATAAATGGACACAATGCTCCAATGCTGAGAATAACTATCATCTCTTATGGATGTGAGGTGAGATCTGCATGGTAGTTATTGTATTTGTGAAGGCTGCTCGGATAGTAAAGACCTAATATGATTTTTTTCCTTTCATTCTTTGCTGATCATATACATTTTAGGTACTTTCAGTTTGTGTTGTAGGTTAAAATTGCTTTCCTTACTTTTTATATTTTTAAAAAGCTATGATGTATGCATGATAAAAGCATTAGTGATGTAATTTAAATAGTGACCCCAGAAACATTAATAGTTAACCCTCAGAGTAATGATCATCTCACCCAGGAGTGACTTTTTATGGAACTATAGTAACGCTGATTTATACAGACTGAAAATAGGATAAAGGGGAAGCCTCATAATAAGCTTACACAGAAAAACAGGGCAGAGGTCACCATGGTAAATGGGGTTACTGAAAAACACCCTCAAAAACATCACTGGAATGTAACTGTTGTTAATTACTTGATGCTTTAAGGTAGTTGGCACAGCCGCTCTGATTGTGGGCATCCTGGCCGTCACGGACGAGAAGAACAATGGCGCTCCAAAAGGCCTGCAACCTCTGGCCATCAGCCTGATCATCACGGCCATCGCAGTGTCCATGGGTACGAATGGCTATCCCATCAACCCAGCTCGAGACCTCAGCCCACGGGTCCTCACGGCTCTGACTGGCTGGGGCCTGGATGTGTTCAGGTAAATTAAATGATGTACAAACAAAAAAAACATTCCTGGTATTATCTGTGACAGACTGTGTTTAAAATGTGGAAATGTAGGAGAGAGTTTAGGACTTTATCATATATATATATAAGACAGTAAGTTAAGGCAGAGACACACTAGGAGTAGAAACTTCAAAATAAAACAGGAAACACAGAACTCCAGACACAAATCCTAACACAAGGAAAACACAGGTATAAGTTAATACACAAAGAGTCCATAATCAAAATAACAAAAATCCCCAAACTCTTGATCTCAGAGTTCAAAGTCCAGAGAGTCATGACAAAATGTCTACTTTAAACTAAGATTTAAAGGCTATAGTGTTATCTTATAAAGTTATTGAGTGAGTTGTCTCATATCAAGGCTAACAGGTTGTGGAAATATTTCACCTTTCTACCATCCACCAATATGACGTAAGTTAACATTAGTTTCTCCCTCACTGGCAAATTTCCTTAAACTTGACAAAGCTCAGAGCCATGGAGGAACCACAGTTTTGTCACAGGTTGTGTTGATTGGTTGTGTTGTTGTGCTCAGTGATGGTAGATCCAATCAAGGCAGAATTCAAGGGTTTAATTCATGCAAGAAGCAGTGATAATAACTACAGTTCATTTGTGTATTGTCATAATTTTTTTTATGTGTACGTGTCCCTACTGCAGTGCTGGAGGTTACTGGTTTTGGATCCCCTTGGTAGGGCCCATGGTGGGTGCACTACTTGGGGTGGCTGTTTACACTCTCTTCATTCACTGCAGTGAGCCAGAAAAACAAGAACAACTTCCAGGACCATGTGAAATGACCACCGAGATTTAAACCTGGAGGAGACAACAAAAGGTTTCTTCTAGATGAAGCAGTTTTTTAGAAAGCATGCATGTGACTGACTACACTATGTCATAGTCATTTCTGTTATATGTATGAATTAAGTGTTTTTGTAGGATGTCTGGTCTGTTTGTAAGTTTGAGGGTTCCTTCCATCAAAATATTAAACTTGCTTATAAAATACATTTTAATTAGACATTAGGCTCTTCCTTTAAATCTATGATATTCCTTTCCATTTTATTTATACATATCGTATTGTTTATATATTCTACTTTTTGTACTACGCACAGTTTTTTAAAAATATATTACTACCTACCTAACAGAGTGGCATTAAGTAAAACAAAGCACCAAGGAAACAGTTGATTTAGCCAGTGTTTTGTGGAGTGACTCTTTTGTTCTGTTTCGCTTCATACTTCGCATATGTGTAAAGATAGTGTGCTTGTTTGCTTTTATACACACTTATGTAAAAGAAATCCAGATTTAGAGATAACACTGGTGTCACTTGTGTTTTCAGTTATTTCCATAATGCTGTGACACACAATCCTATGTCATGTTGCTGGATTACAGATTAATGAGACGCTTGATATCGAAGAGCCATAACGAACCATCAGATAAGTTTCTGCTAAGTCTGGCTATGTAAACACTAAATGTCTACACTAACTTGGATGGTTTAGGTTTGGTTTGAAGCCCAGCATTGAAAATGTATCAACAGTACAAATATTACAAACCCAGGCTACCTATATAAAATGGAGATGTCAAAACACAGTTTCTTTCCTGTATTTATTGTGTTCTTGTGATTATCTATGCTTCAATCCTGTGAGCAGAGAAATGTGAAGTTGCAAAGACGATCCTGAGGTCAACAGGCCGTATGATATATAATTCAGCCTGTTACAATGGCTAACATGCTGTGAGCACCACAGATGATATGGTGCATATAGACCTTTACATAATGCTGATGTTAGTTTGTTTATTAAGTGCTGCAGTGGCAGAGGGTACAAAGCTCCTACTGAATCAGGCCTTCTCTATTTAAATGATCTGTACCTCCAGGTGCATGCAGTAATGTGAACTGGTAAGGGGGTGGTCTATGTTGTCTGCTACCATAAGTGCCAGATGTGTAATGGACGTGTTGTTCAGGTCTATGATTTTGGGTGTGGGAACCTTGTTTACTAGTCTCTGAAAGATAGCAGGGGCATTGCAGAGACCAAAGTGCATTACTGTATACTGAAGAAAATTATCTGGTGTGACAAAAGTGGACATTTCAGAGGCACATGGTGTTAACGGAACCTGCCAGTGACCTTTTAGCATGTCAAGTTTGCTGGCATACTCTGCTGGACCAATCTCATTAATACAGTCATCAATAAGTTGCAATGGATGTGCATCAGGGACAGTTACAGAGTTCACCTTACGAAAGTCGGTACAGAATCTTGGACTGCCGTTGGAACTCTCATCTAGGAGACATGGTGAGCTCTATGAACTGGAGCTGGGCACAGTGAATCCATGTTCCACAAGGTAGTCCACCTCCCTCCTGGCAGGATTCACCCAATAGGCATGCTGTTTGAGGGGTTTTGAGTTAGTTAAGACAATGTCATGCGTAATAGGACAGTTGTTTGAGAGGGAATATCATTAAACAAGCACAGGAAGTCAGAAATTAGATTTTCAACATCACCACGATGATCATCAGGTTGAAACGAGTGGGCAATGGCTTTCTGGTCATAGTGTTGCTTCATTTTTACCTGAGAAGAGGATAAAGAGTCTTTGGCTAAACAACAGGTGCTCTGAAGACAAGCTCTGAGTTTCATAACATACTCAGGGATGCTATTGACTTTCTTCCCTTCTGGCAAGAGAAATTGTTCTTTTAGAAGTTTTAAAGGGCCACAAACCTCATGTCCAAACACCAGTTTGGCAGGACTAAAACCAAGTGACTCCTGTACAGGTTCACGAGCAGCAAACAAAACAAATGGCACACCCTCATCCCAGTCCTTTTGAGACTCAACACAGTGTTTCCTGAGCATGGACTTCAAGGTCTGATGAAACCTTTCTAGTGCCCCCTGGCTTTCAGGATGATAGGGGCTTGAAGTTACATGCTTTAAACTTAATGTTTTCAGTACCTGGGAAAACACTCGGGATGTGAAATTGGTACCCCGATCGTTCTGAACCACCTTAGGAAGACCAAACATTGTAAAGAACTTCATGAGTGCCTTACTGTTAACTGGAGTTGTGATATTCTGTAGCGGAACAGCCTCTGAGAACCTAGTGGAAACACACATAATAGTCAAAATAAACTGGTTGCCAGATTTGGTCTTTGGTAATGGTCCCATGCAGTCAACAATCACTTTTTCATATGGCTCACCCATCACGGGTATGGGACTTTCTGTTCATTTAAGAACATTACCACCTTCTCTGGCAAAGAGCCTTCAAAGTCTTCCAATAGAACAAGCTGACGAAGTGACTCAAAGTTGTTTTTGAAATCACTGGCGGCACACCATTTATCAAAGAGGGTCCCCTTCTCCTGTGCAAACTCAAAAGTCTGACCATTGGATTTCCTGTGATTCCTAAATTTTTGCCTATAAGCCTCAGGAACAAGCTCGAAAGCACGCAAAATGGCCTCCTTTAATACATCATATTGCAGACTGTCTTCTAAGGAAAGGGCAGACACTACCTCTTGTGCTTTACCTATCAGCTTGCATTGGAGGAGGATAGGCCACATGTCTCTTGGCCAGTCAAGTGCTGAAGCTATTCGTTCAAAAGCACTGAAATATGAATCAACTTCGGCCTCCCGAAATGCCGGCACCAGAGAAATATTTTTACTCGCATCAAAACCTTGTTTATTGGATACAGTTTGAAAAGATGTGGACCTGTCAGACATGTTCAACGAGTGACTGGAGGAGATTTTCAGAGCCTCAACCTCAAGTTGCTTTAGTTTTACTTCTTTCTCTGCTTCAATCTCTAACTCTTGTACCTGTGCAGAGATCATACTCTCCAACTCCTTTTCCTGGGCCTCCAGCTGAATGCGAGCTTGGAATCCAGACTAAACCCCGGAGAGTGTGGAGGAGAGAAAGGGTAAAAATGAGGTAACGTAGCTGGAGCAGATCTCCCAGCATGGTCTGCAGGAGGTGTGACTAGTACACCTGCTGTAGTAGAAGGGACATCATTAGCTGAAACCTCAGCCACAGGCTGGGCAGGATAAAAGACATTTAAATCAACCAATTTTCCTAGGACCTGTTTCTTGATTTCTTTCTTAAGTCCATACTTGTGAACAGGAATGTCAAAGTGTGCTGCAACACACAATAAATCATCCTTGCGACACACATCAATCTTTTCAAACGAGGGTTTTGGCAACAAAGTCTTGCATGTTGAAACTCATTTTCACTCACATGCCAAACAAATAACATGAGTAATCTCTCATTGATTGTCAGAAGGAAAAACAGGTTTTTCCCAGATGAGCCCCCAATTGTAACGTTTCCCTTTTTTGCAGAAACAATAATGCTGACAACTAACAAAGAAAGAATTCAGAGCAGACGTGAGGCAGTCGAGGGAAAAAGGTTTATTTACAATATTTAAATGAAGATAAACAACAAACATAGGTTTGAAACATGAGGGGGAAGGAGTAACTGTGGTGGTTGTGCCAAACAAAATAAACAAAGTACAACAAAATAGGGCCTAGCTCAATTCTATCTGTGAGGAAAGAAAAGAACACAAAAGGCCTGACTTTCTTATCTACAAAAGTGTCTGAAAATAATAAAAGTACAACAGTGGCAACAACCCATAACCTGGTGTAGTAACAATTTCTTACCTCAGTTCTACCTCCCCACCACAAACCTTCTTTGACAGCAAAGCAACATAGAGGGGCAGAACAAGGCAAAAGAGAAGCTTTTAAATGGTGCCCTCCATCTCTGATTGGCTAATTGGCTGGAGTGTGAGCCATCCGCAGCTCTTCTGGAGCTCACAGGTGGCAGCCCATCTTCCACTTCTCACCTGCAGGACAAAGGGAGGAGAGAGTGAGAGAGAGAGAGAGAGAGAAAGAGAGAGACACCCGCACACACAACTCTATACACGTAACAAATATGTATTAGATGTAAAGTATAGTACCTTATACACAAACAGACCTGTATAATAAATCCACCCCCCCTGTCGGCACCTACAGGTGGATGCAGGGGTGGTGGAGGGGCTGAAGTGAGTGGCAGCAATACGCAGCAGCTGGGCTATAGTCCACATCCTAATGCATTGGAAACAAAAAGGCACTGGCATACATAAAGCAACCTCTCGCTATTTCCCATTTTATCAATTAGTGATCAATATTTTACACAGTTTAGTTGGACGGTAAGTTTTACACATAGACTGTATATCAAGCTTTACATTACTTTCTATGATGCATTGTGGGTTACTGAGTTCACTGTGTAATATTATTATAGTTCTCTGTGAACATTCAAACATAACTAGAACATGAAGAGCTCAGTGACTTCAGACACAGCTCAGAAAATCAATGAAAATAAGACAGATCATTTATTTGTTTTGTGCAACAAATAACATGAAGTTGAAGCTAAACGTCATTCATTATGTTTTAAGAACAAACACTCATATTTTCATTTAAAACTTACAGACTAATTAATTTCATCATGAACACATACTGAGGTGTTGTGAACTGTTATGTGATGGAACTGATGTAAAAACACATCATGGAAATTGTGACATTGAACAATGTGACTGAACATAACTGACTCGTTTTCATTTTTGAATATTTATTTTTTGTGCTTCATGATTTTTTTTTGGAAGTAAAAATAATAAGATGAAGTGTCCAGTGTTGTCCACTAGGTTGTGCCATTGTTCAGTGATTGGATTCAGAGTTGTGTCAGTGAATCATGTCTTTTTAAATGATGAGATATGAGCCTGTTATTGTTACGGAATAAGTGTCGACCTGAGGATTTGCCGAAGCTCCACATCCCATCCTCAAATAGAAAATAATATCACCTAAAACACCTGCTTTCACTTTCACACAAAGTCTGAGTCCAGCTGAGACAAAACGTATGCCTTTAAAGGTACAATGTGTAG